TCTTCCTTTAAATTTTCTTCCTCTATCTGACTAGCCCGAGAGACCTTCTCTTTTGCTTGATCTAACATGTTTCTACCATAGTCTGGACCTCTAACAATTTACTTAACACTCTTTCGGTTTGTTTTTTACTAATTTCTAATCTACTATAAAGATAATGCAACCCAATAAGATAACATAAAACAAAACCGAAACAGAATGAAACAAAAACGGAACAAAAAAATCGTTGTATCAACTTTCTCTTCCTCAGGGCCAAACAACTTCAAACCTTGAGCCAACCATTTTTCCCAGTTTGCCTGAGAAAGTTCTAGGGATAGGCAGCTTGAAACAAAAACAAATCAAAACAAGAACACATTGTTTTTTGAAATGGTCACCCATTCTCTCGCCTTCTCTCAGGGGCGAGCAATTTTACTTACCTCTGAGCTTCAGGCGTTCTCTGTACGGGCCACCAATTGCCACAGTCTGTCTGGGCACAAAATCATGAGCCACTCAAACAGGAACAAACTTTATTTTTGAAACTCCCGCCAATGCCCTCTATGCTCCCGGGAAATATGCCGACCCACACTCTCAGCGTTCTCCTGGGCCACACTACCCCAACAGGAAATCCCTCCTCTGGAATTCCCTCCTACCGCACTTTCCCAACCAATGGGAACTAGCTCCGCTAGAGCTCCAAAGTAGCAGGCTGAGGTGGACAGCAGGGGTCTAATATCCATTTGAATGCAGATCTTAACATAATCATATCATCTCAATGGCTTGCTAGCGTCACCTTTCAACCAAAAATGCCATGCATCATTACTATTTGGCTATGGCTCTCAGCACTTACCCACAAATGCCATAATTTTATTCTTCTTGATGGACAAGTAATATTTCATCATGTATGTACACCACAATTTCTTTACCCATTCATCTGTTGAAGGCCACCTGGGTTGGTTCCATAGTTTAGCTATTGTGAACTCAGCTGATATAGACATTGATGTGGCTGTGTCACTGCAGTGTGCTGATTTTAAGTCCTTTGGGTATAAACCTAAGAGTGGGATAGCTGGGTCAAATGGTGGTTCCATTCCAAGTTTTCTGAAGAATCTCCATACTGCTTTCCATAGTGGTTGCACCAATTTGCAGTCCTACCAGCAGTGTATGGGTGTGCCTTTTCCCCACATCCTCACCAACACTTATTCCTGCTTGTATTTTTTTTTTTTTTTTAGTTGTAGATGGACACAATACCTTTATTTATTTTTATGTGGTGCTGGGGATCGAACCCAGTGCCTCACATGTGCGAGGCAAGCGCTTTACCACTGAGCTACAGCCCCAGCCTCTTGCCTGTATTCTTGACAACTGCCATACTGATTAGAGTGAGACTAACCTCATTCTTAATGCTGAGAAACTAGGACCATTCCTGCCACGATGAGGACATGAGTACATTCCTTCACCACTGCCGTTCCACCTCATACTGGAAGTCCTCGCCAATGCAGTGAGACCAGAACAAGAAATAAAAGGTATGCAGATTGGGAACAAATAAAACCATCTTTGTTTGCAGATGAAATGATTGTCTATGTAGAAAATCCAAGAGATCTGGCAAAAATACCTCTTGGAACTAAGAGGCAATCATTCCAAGGTGGCAGAATACATGGTTAATACACTAAATTAATTGCTTTCCTATACACCAGCAATTAAGAACTGGAATTTGAAATTAAAATACATCTGCATTAGAATTCCCAGTGTGAAATATTAGGTATGAATCTAACAAAATGTGTATAAGATCTATGAAAAACTACAAAACTCTGATGAAAGAAATCATAGATCTAAACAAATGGAGGGAGATTTCCTGTTCATGGATAGGAAGACTTAGTGCTGTCGAGACGTCAGTCCTGCCCAACTTGATCCGTAGATTTAACACAATTCAATAAAACCCCCAGCAAATTACTTTATGGATACCAGCACCTGGTTTCACAGTTTATATAGCAGCAGGGCATGGAGGTGCACACCTACAATCCCAGCAACTTGGGAAGCTGGGATTCCCAAGTTGCAGGAAAACTGAATCCAAGGCCAGTCTCAGCAACTTAGTGAGACCCTGTCTCAAAACCAAAAGGGACAGGGATGTGGCTCAGTGGTAAAGCATCCCTGGGCTCAATCTCCAGTGCCAAAACAAGGGAAAACAACAACAGCAACTTACACAGCAAGGTGTAGTCCCCAGAGTCAACACATAACTGAAGGCAACAGAGTTGAGGAAGCAGCACTACTGGACTTGGAGACTCGCCGTGAAGTCTAGTAACCAAACGGTGGAGAAGTGGCTAAGGAACAGAGGTCTGTGGAGGGACTGGGCCCAGACATGGACACAGCCAGCTGACCTTGACAGGTGGAGAGGGCAGTACCCTGGGGCAGAGACGGCCTTTGTCAACACAGGTGCTAGAACAACTAGACATCCACGTGCAGAGATCAGGGAATGAAGAAGGGGAGCCAGACACAGACCTTCCACACCCAACCACTGCCAGGAGTGGTAAAATCAGATTCCTGCTCTGAGAAGACACTGTCAGGAGACATGGGACAAGCAACTGAGAGGCAAAGAATGGCAAGAGATGGGGGCTAAAGGATAGGCAGATCAGACTACAAAGAACTCCAACACTCCACAGGAGGGAATGGACCCTGATTAAAGATGGGTGAAAGTCCTCGACAGACACCTGCCAAGCAGGTCCACAGGTGGCAGGAAAGTGTTAGAGTCTGTAAACAAGTCAAAATAACACCTGGCATTTTGCCAGGGGAATGTTAGAGTTCATAAACAAGTTTGGATGGTGCCTGGCAAAATGCCAGAGGGAGTGGTTTGAGAAGTAACAAAAGCAAGCCATTAAGTGTGGAGATTCCTTATTGGTTGACTGCTGTATCTAGTTTATGCTAATTAGATAAGCTGTGTGGAATGTATAAATACTGCTCCTGTCCTGAAATAAACGGCTCCCAGTATCAACGTTCACAAGTTGTTCGTCACCGCCCCCCCCCCCCCCAGCCGGGACTGCGGCAGGAAAGCACACCACACGTCCCTAGGGAACTGCAGATTACAATGAGAAGCCACTACACGTGCATCAGAACAGCCAAAGCCAGCACCCTGCATTCCTTCCATTCACCTACAGGAGCTGACCACTCACTCCACAGAAAAACCCAGTTCACCTCCTGACGGCTGAAGGTGAGTGCGAAGTGTCCTTAGATGTGTGCGTCCAGGCAGCGGAGCAGAGTGCACTAGCAAATAAGAGTGAGCTGTCAGCCACGAGCATACGGAAAAGCCAGTCCGCAGAGACTAGGCAGGTAGGAATGAGAGCGCTGACCTTCTGGACAAGGTCCAGCTGTTGGCAGGGGTCGGGGTGGGTGCAGAGGATTTCTGGGGCAGTAAAGCCATTCCGTGTGGCACTGCAGAGGTGGACATGACATTGCACTCTTGTCCAGGCCCCAGAACATGTGGCTCTGGGCGATGACATGGCAACGTAGGCTCACCCACCAACAGATGGACCCCCTGGGGGGACGGCGGTAGTAGGGGAAGCTGTGGGGTTGGTGTACCTTCCCCCACCTCCCTCCATCGACCTGGGAGCGGGGCCCAGCCAAGAGGGCTCTGCAGGCCCCCTGGTGTGGAGGCCCACAGCACAGCCCCTCCAGGGCAGTGCAGGCCTGGCTCCAGGCAAGCTGCCCCAACTTCCCGGCTGGCTCCCTCCTCCACGAGGCCTGCTCCCTGTCCTGACCTGTTCCCAGTTCATCCACAGGCTCACCCCTGCCCATGGGTGCCCAGCCCTGAGGGGTAGTACTGTCACTTAAAAGAGTGCACGCAGCAGGGCCTCGAGTACTGTCCAACAAGTCGCTGGCTGAGGCCTCGGTTCTGTTCTGGCGCAGCCCCGCCCTGGGCTCCCCACAATTCAGACCACCTCTACAGTGGGGTCCTAGTGCTGTCCTGCCTGGACCTGCGTTCCCCTCGGCCCCAGCTCCCCAGGAACTCCGTGAGCAGGGACAGTGCAGGGCACAGGAGCCTGGCTACACCAGCAGACACGGTGACTGCAGTGTGCTCTGGACACACTTGCCTGGTGGGTGTGGCCACGCTTGGCCACTTCAGCCTGAGGTCAGAGAATGTGCACTTGGGCACTCTGGACTGGACAGCCAGCTGCACACCTGAGCACAGACGGACAGTAACATCTGTCCACAGGGCCTGCTCAGTGTTTAACTGCCCTTGGGTGGCCACCAAAGGCCACACAGCTTTTCCACTACTGCTGTCCCATCAATGGCCCGTCTGTTGATGGATGAACCTACATTGCCACGTCATTGCGCAGAGCCACACGGGAAGCGGCCACTCCCTGAGCAAGTGGGATATGGACGAGGTGCTCACACCCAGGGCTAAATGAAAGGAGCCATCCTCATGTGGACGGCGGCTGGCAGGATGCACAGGGGACTCAGGGTTGGCACTGCCACTCTGGAGACCAGTGAGCACATGTGTAATCTGTGCGCTTCTCCAGATGCCACGTGTGAACACGTGTACACCTGTGTAGGTTCAGCACACACGCTCAGGAGGACGGGAGCCTGGCCTCCTGACTCTGGATAGCCCAGGAAGGCTCCTTGGCTGCCTCACACAAGGACCAACCTGCTGCCACCCGAGGCTCAGCACTGGTGGAAAGACAGGCCACCAAGAATCACGGTCCCATGGAGAAGAACCTGAAACTGTTTTTGCAGCATAGGGAGCTGCAGGGCCCCTCCCCTCAGCTCTGCAGGGCCTGGCCAGGGCCAGAGGCACTGTGGTGGGAGGGGGGCTGGACAACCAGGGCCCCGTCTTGCTCTGCACAGGGCCCACGGCCAGGTCTGGCTAGTGCTCCCTGCACACGTGAACAAACAGGGCTCTACCAACCAAGCCCAGGCTGCAGCCACTGCCCCCGCGGGCCCGTCTGTTCAGGCCCACAGAGCAGAAGGACGTCCAGGTGAAGTGTGCAAAGGCTGGGACTCCAGCTGAGAGAGCCCCTCCCCAACCAAAGTCACCCGAAGGACACCAGCACACAAGCAGCCTTTATTCCCCCCTCCACACACCTGTGAGCTTCTGCCACCCGGGAATCCACAGTCCACCCACCTGGTCACAGAGGGAGGCTGAGTGACAGCAATTTCCCCCTACCCCCCAAATTAAGAGAACTGAGGCTGATTCAAGAAACCTCATGGATACAGCCCATTCACCAATTCCAGAAGGCCCAGATGTCCCTGTCAGGAGTTTCCAGTTTGGACAGGAGCCATGCTGCAGCTAAAGGACTGCCTGCTACAGAAAGTCCCTCCCCTGATCAGTGTCCACTTGAGACCAGAGGGTCTCTACCCTTCAACGTGCACTTCTGGTCTCCTGATTATCAGACAGGTAACATAACAACTGGTTTTCTTCCAAACCCAAGCATCCCAAATCATCAAACCCAGATCGCAGCGTGGTATTTTCCTCAGGGTCTCTCCTGGACAGGGACAGTTGCTGGGGGAAGTGGCGACTGCTTGCTCCTCAGGGGTGGACAAGGAATGCTCAGCTGCCCTGTCAAGGTGTGGCTGGCCACCCTCCTGCAGCGAGGAGCCTCAGGCCAGACCCCTGTCCCACAGCAGAGCTCCCTGCTCAAGCAGAAAACATGAAGTCAAACAGAAAAGCAGCTCTGGCCCTGTGCCCAGCTGGTCACGGGTGGCAGACGGCTCCGCGGCAGACGGGGGCGGCCAGGCGCAGGAGCTGTCATTTCCCTGTGAGTTCCAGCACCTTCTTCACCATGGCCCCGATCCCGTCGTGGATGTGGTGGAGGGCGGTCTCACACATGAAGGCTGGGGTCGTGACCACCTTGTTTTTCTGGTCCACGTGAGCTTCGTGCGCTGAAGTTAAGGAAAAATCATCACCCAGCAAAACCAGAGGCAGCGGCGGGCCGCGGTGGGCACAGACTCTCTCCCCAGGTGCCCTCCCTGCCTCGGGGCCCCTGCTGGCCACTGGGCCCCTCAGTCAGGTGGAAGACTGGTTTCCAGCTCCCGTGTCCAAGAGGACAAGGGAAGCTCGGGAGCCCAGGGAGCAGAGAGCCCCTTCCAGAGGCACCACTCCAACGCGCTCCACCCGGGACAGAGGCTCTCCAGGCTCCAGCCCTCCTGACCGCCGGGTGGTGCCTGGGCCCCCAAGGTCCCCACGGGCACCTCCCCACACCATGCTCAGGACCACAGACCAGGCGACCCAGGGGACGCTGCCATCCAGGGGACGCTCACTGACCACCCAGCAGGTGGGCAGTGGGCATGGACACACGGACCTCCCTGGCCAATGCAGGCCCATCCTCCAAACACATGGCATTAGGCTTGCCCTCCTGGCCAAGGACATCCACAGCAAAACCAGCAAGTACAGTTCTTGGGGATGAGGCCCTCTGCCAGGGGACCCTGAAGGGCCAAAAGAGAGTGTCCCATGTGCGCCATGTCACCACAGAGGCCATAGCCACCAGAAAGGATATGGTCACACCCTTCACACAGTGCTTGGCACCCAGGGCCTTGATGGCCTCGGCAGTCCCTGCGTAAGGCCACTTGCCACCCTCTTCCTGCTCATGGCCCACGGTGACTTCAACACCTCTGAGCACTTTGGCCGCAAGGACAGGCGCGATACAGCACAGGCTGAAAAGAGAAAGCCCCCCCCCCAGTGAGCACAGGGACTCTGTGGAGCTGGGGCACTGTCCATACCCCGCAAACCGGTGCCTTGCAGGTGGTGGCACCAGGTGACCCGGCGCTCTCCTTGAGCCAAAAGACCCCTGGACAGTCCTGGGAGAGCCAGCCCATGAGGACCAAGGGGCACAGTGAGGCCAAGCTCCCCCAAGCCAAGTGGCTGCCAGCCGCCCAGAGCCCCTGTGACACCCAGAACCCTGGCGTACAGGAACACAGACGTCCTCTTACTGAGAAAATGGACGAGGCCACTTCACCCATCAACAGGGAACACATCTGTACCCACTGCTCAAACCAGACCCTGTCTGGGGGCATGGCTAGTGTGGGGACACATCAGGTTCTGCTGGCAGTCTTGCTTGAGCTCTGACCTGTGCTGTGACCTTCAGTGTGCAGAGCCCAGCTGGCGTGCGTCAGAGGGCCCCAGGCGCAGAAGGCCAGGGGCTGTGACAGCCCCATCCACCCGCAGAGCAGAGCCTACAGTCTTCCTGTGGTGGCCAGGTGCCAAGGACAGGCCCGGTTAAGGCACCAGTGCCTGCCCTAGGGGACCTGCTCTGCTCTCCAGCAAGAGCTCTGACCCCCGTCAGCCAACGCAGGGAAACCCAGGCCCCTGGGTAGACTGCCGCAGTGCTGGGGTCCCCGCGCAGCCCGCACCTTGACCGCGCCTCCCATAGTGCACCTGGGCTTGCTCTGCTCCTCAGGGGTGCCCAGCCCAGGGGCCATCTCCAGGGCAGAGCCACCTGCCACACTGCACCGCCTCCAGCCTGGGAATGAGCTGCGACAGGGCTGGAGGACTCAGCAGCAAGTGCAGTGGCAGCTGTGGGCTGCACGGGGACGAGGTCACGTGGGACACTGAGCCTCGGCTGCGTGGGATTTCCTGAGGGAGGCTCGCAGCACTGCCCGGCCACTGTGACTTGGCCCTTGACAGAGCTGTGACCGCACCAGTGAAAGAGTGTTTGCACAGGCTCAGGGGCTGCTCTGATGGAGGACAGGAGGTCAGGAGGACAGGGACACTGCTGCAGCCAGGATAATTCTGAAAGTCCCCACCAGAGGGGAGGAGCCCCTCCTTCCCGGTCAGTTCTCAAAAGAAATGGACTCCTGAGGACCACAGAGTGAGTGGTTTTGGAGCCCATGTGGCTCAGGGGGGCGGCTCCAGCGGAGGCTGCCCAGCCGCAGGTGCACCTACCCAATGGGCTTCCCAGCTCCGTGGAACTCCTTCAGGACCCGCTCCACGTCCTGGTTGACTCTGCAATCCTTCCCGTCGACAGCGAACGTGCTCCTGCCAGAGGAGAGGGCCTTCTCAGCGTGGCATGGCAGGCCGTGGCGTGGTGTGGCCACGCAGCCACACTCCAGGCGCGACCCCACCCCCAGGGCCACCTCAGCCCATGAGCAAGCAGCGTGTGTGGATGTGAGGGTGCACGGCTGCCCACGCCCACGCAGCCACAGGCACGCTCCTGCTTCCCACAGAGCAGCAGGAAGGCAAGAGGCAGCTGGGAGGCCGCCAGGCATGGACAGAGCCAGTCTGCGACTACACCCCGCTCCAGGGTCCAGGCACAAGCCCCGAAAAGTTCCAGGAGAACTGTAACTAGCCTAAAAACAGCAAGAGATGCTTGCTTCACCAAAAAGGACTGAAACGACATTTGACAAATGTCCACTTTCCTGCCTTTGAGAGCAGGCCACTGGGGAGGCCTCTGCACTGGGGGGTGTGCAGCTGGCAGAACCTTTCAAACTCACAAGTGCACGTGCCCCTGCGCCCTCTCCACGCTCTGCCTCCAGAATCTCGGCCTGCTCTGTGTTCTCCTCCCACTCGAGGTCCTCACTCTTCTGGTGGTGAGGGACACTCAGTGTCCTGTCGCGGCAACTATTCCAGAGGGCATGTAAGTGCGCTGAACTTGCCAAATTCACCCTTTAAATGTGTGCACGTTAACTGTAACTCCAAACACCACTAAAAACAAACAACTAGAAACACCTAGTGACCACCAGAAGGGACAACCTATCCTCCCAAGCAGGGCTGCGCTGGACAGCTTACAAACCAGCTCTGAACTAGACCATGGGCCAGTGGGAACACAAGCACAGAGCAGGCTTCAGATGCTCCTGTCCGGCTACCTTTGGACCTTCCCATGTAAACAGGGCGCTGGCAGTGGTGGCCAGAGAGGGCCTGAGGTCAGGAGGGGGAGGGGGACTGGCTCCCCACCAAGCCTCTGTCACTGCGGGACCCTGCCCTGCAGGCCCAGCGGCAGCCATTCTATGGAGGGCCTACCTTTCTCCTGACAAGGTCACAAAGAACAGAATGGCAATCAGAAAGACCGCAGCGTCTCCCAGAGCGGACTGCGAGCCCAGACAAACAGTGTGACGGAGACCCACGGTCCTCAAATACCAAGGACTGTCCCAAGAGTCTACTTCTAAGTTAACACAGGGGACACCAGCAAGCCACACAGGAGGCATGAACAAACCCTACCACTGACCTCTCACCCATGGGGCAAGGTGCTGATGGGCAGGGGCACGGTCACGTGAACTCTTCTGTCTTTCAGGGGAACACTGGTCCCGTAGGAAGCAGAAACCCAGCTGACGATGCGCACACCCTGCTGTGTCCCCAAGACCAAAGGACATGGGAATCCAGGAAAGGCACGTGCCTGCTGCCTGCCCAGGGGGCACTCACCAGCTCCCCGGTTTGGGCACAGGGAGTGCATGTGAGGCAGGACAGTTCCTCGAGGGAGAACGGTGTGGGTGCTGCAGCAGGGGTGGGAGTGGGAAGACCCCAGGAGCTGCGTTTCTGTATCAGGAAGGCCCAAAGGGCCTGTCCCTCCCTTGTGGGTCCAGGGCGCCCAGAAGGTGAGTGGCCAACAGGTTGCCGTGTCGTTGCCGGCAGAATAAATGTCAACTTGTCATCAACCACACTGGGAAAAGGACAATCAGCGGGCACCCAGCCTCAAGGCAGCTGGCCGCAGCACCCAGGTGAGCCCACTCCTCCCGCACAGAGTCTTAGGGCCTCAGGAGCTGGTTCAGCGGAGGCCAAGGCAGAGGAGGGGAGTCGGCTTTCAAACATTCAAATGACTCCTGCTGGAAGCGTGGGTCAGGAAAGCCTCATGCCTGCGACCTAGATGTGAATGCCACATGCGGGGGGAGGACACACGGGAAGGGCAGCCAGGTGGGCGGGGCAGCACGAGGGGCACCGGGAGATCAGCAGGCGAGGGCCGGGCGGCCCGGGCTATGGGGGGGTCGGCACCAGAGGGCTGGACATGGGGCAGGCAGAGGTGCAGGCAGCTGGACTCTGGCTCCCACGGGGCACTGTGGCACTTGATAGCACCAGGGAAATGGCCTGGGGACTTGCAGAGCTCTGTGCAAGGCTCTCCCAGGAGAATCAGCATTGCCATCTCTAGGCTACAACACACCTAGGCCAGCCCCAGGAGGACTTCCGCGAATGCACAGGGACAGAGAAAGGACCTCTAGCGAACCTGATGAGGACCTCCGCCTAAGACTCTGGCTGCATGCCAGGCCCTCAGTCACCACGCTGCTTCCTACACAGCAGCCCAGGAGGAGAGCAAGCAAGGCCCTTCGCTCCCAGGCTACAGAGACCAGTTTTCCCTGCTACAGGCTCTGAGAGAACTGGTCCCGGGAGGGAATACGCACTCAGTGGCTGATTCTGCCCAGACGAGATCCACCAGCATGGAGCTTAGCGAAGAGGGCCCCAGCCCACCCTGTCAGCCACCAGGTGCCTCGAGAGCTCAGAGAATGCAGGGAAAGAGACACGCCTCACTGAAATGCTACCTGGGCCCCAGGCCAACGTGGCTCCCTGAGCTGGACACAGGCAGGCACACAGCCAGACCTTCAGCTCAGGGCAGGTGTGCATGCTGCTTAGACCCTGAAGCTTAGATACGCACAGATTTTTGGCAGCTCCAAAGCCTCCAGGGAAGATGGCAGCATCGTGGTTGGCTGCACTGAGCTGAGCCAGGTCAGAGATCTTGCCTCGGGCGATCCTGGCTGACTCCGTCAAGACGTTCCTGGGAGAGAGCACAGAGGGACACAGAGGAACAGTGTGCAGTCAGGAACAGGAAACAGGTACCCATGGGACGCGTCCTGCGCGCAGCTTGCAGCACAGAGGGACTGTGTTGGTGTGTGAAGACTTGATGCTTGTCAATCAGCACTTAGGATGGCTACCCAGAAGAGGTGAGAGAATTCCAGTGGCCCTAAATTTATGTCAGAGGTTGGCCCTGCCCAAGGACTTGGAGCCAGGAGCCACCAGGAGTGGAAACTCATCGGGAGGTAGGAGAAAGGAGGGCGGGGAAGGCACCACTACTCCAGAGGTGCGAACCAGCCAAGGCTCAGTCACGGCAGGAAGCAACTGCCTGCCCAGGCTTGTGGGGCAGGTGCAGGCTTCAGGGGCCAGGGTCTCAGGAGGGGAAACAACAGGGGTCCTACATGGGGCTCCCAGGAAACACAGCAGCAGCACCTGAGAGGCACCACCTGTATGGAAAGGAAGGCGTGAGCACCGGGAGTCACAAGAGGCAGCACGCGAGGTGCTCCCACTCTTCCAGAAAGCATAGCGGGTGGGGAATATCCCGAGCAAAGCAGGTGCTCCTGGACACACCTGCTTTCACTCTCAGAAGGCTGCCCCTTGGTGTGATCCACCACGTGCATCTGACGGACATCGGGGGCAAAGATCTGGACTTCAGCCCCGCCACGGCTCAGGTGCACCAGGATCCTACAGGGAGAGAACCACAAGACCACAGCTTGGGGCATGCCCAATCCAGAAGATTCGTGTCAATGTGCTTTTCAAAATGGATTTCAGCTAAGTGACAGACAAAAATTCCTAGTGTATGAGATACCATATTTGCTCTGCAAAGTTAGGGTCACTTTGCTAATGACCCAACTCACCTCCCCCCGGTGGACCACAGCACAACTGCAGAAGCTGGCTTTCAGACAAGAGAGGGTGGTGAATGGATGGGCGTCACAGCCCAGAGGTATTCAGGTTCCTAGGCACCCTTCTTCACTCAGAACCGATCTGACCTCCTGTAGGCTGCCCACATGACTCTCCAAGTGTTAGGGGACAAACAGAAGAGAATGGTGGGAGCACAAGTTTAAGAAAATAATTCTATAAAATGGGCCCACTGTGCAGACCCCCACATGCTTTCTTCCTTTTTTTTGGTACCAGGATTGAACCCAGGGGCACTTAGCCACTGAGCCACATCCCCAGCCTTTTATATTTTATCTAGAGACAAGGTTTCACTGAGTTGCTTATGACCTCACCAAGTTGAGGCTGGCTTTGAACTCACAATCCTCCTGCCTCAGCTTCCTCAGTCACTGAGATTACAGGTGTGTGCCTAGCCCCATATTTATTTTCCAAGAATCAATTTACCTGAAGCCCTGCCTGGCCTGAGTGGACAGGCTATGTCACAAATTCCTCAGCAAACTACCTGCCTTAAAAATGCAGGACTGAGATAATATTGATGGGAGAAACCCAGGTTACCCTGAAGGGGGAGACTTTTGTAAGCCTTTTCAAAGACCAGATTCTGAAACTGAGGGAGATAAGAATAATTCTTCCTAACTATAAAATCTATAAGAATGTATGGTTAAGAATCCAATTAGAACTGGTCAGCATGGGACAAGGTGACCTAAGTTGTCAAGGCAGTGGGAACTTGAAGGGTCTGATGTCACCTTGCTACCAGTCAAAAGTCAAGAGGTGGACCTGGGTGGGACTCTCTGGAAACTTTTCTGGGATCCCCAATAAAACTGGAGTGCAGAAGAGGTACTTTGTCCCTCTCGTCTCTGAGACTTCCCACTCTGTCCCTTGAGAGTGTCCCCTTTCCCTTTTCTTACCCTGCAGTAAACTCATTCCTGTTACCCTAAGCAACATGTCTGAAATCTTTCTGACTTGATCACAAGAATGGGGTTTGGAAGTGGGGGGGGGGTGTCTTTGTGCTGCCTCAGTTTCCTGGAAGGCCCCAGCCCTGTAATAGAGGGGACAGCAGCAGGTATGCAACACAGAAGAATGAGGGGCCTCTGGTTACCATTTAGGAAGTCCCATTCCTCATCTTCCCCAACTTTCCTGCATGAGTAGTGGGGGAGAGGTGCAGAGCTACATAGGAACAGGATAGAATGAGGTCCACCTCCCCAAGGACACTAGACCACAGTGGGGGCAATACTGGAATTGACTAGGGTTTTCCTCTGTCTGCCACAATTCCAAATACCAACAAGTCCAGGTTCCCTAATCCTGCCCAGAATGCTACTCTGACTGCCCCCCCCCCATACACAGAGGAGGAAACTGAGGCAGGAAGGGTAATAACTTGCCCAAGATCACACATTGCCTGCAGATAGGATCTGGTCCTGGTCACCTTAATGCTTCAAATAGTGCCTTGCCAAATAGCCCAGGACGTCCCCATTCACTGGCCAGTTCCTGCCTCATCCGCTCTTTCTATCCATACCCAAATTAGGAAAGGCATCGGGCCCTTTAGTACACCAGCTCAATCCCTCAGAGGCTCCTTATGTCTGGGCCAACTCCAGGCCCAAGCTAGCACAGTGGTAGCACCCTCAGGGTGGCTGCCCTGCAGAGCCACAGCCTCGGGCTCCTAGTGGATGAAGTTCCTTTCTAACCTATGAACCAGAAGTGAGGTGGGGGATCTGCCTGTGGGCACTGAGCACCCTACTGCCTGCCTACCTACCTTTCCAGCAAAGCAAAAAACCCACAGTCACTACCTCGGCCACTAGAAGATTACCTTCTGCACCCCACCAACAGATGGAAGTTAGCTTCCTTGCAGAGGAAACACCAAGTGCACTAAGCCCGATCCCCATGTTTCTATACGTACTAAAAAGCAAGTGAAACGTCACCGAAGTGAAGACAACTTTTGCCATTTTTAATGCAAGAAAAGGTATGGACAATAGGAGCTTTTCTAAATCGCTGGAGAGTTCCCGCTGAGGACTTACGCTGAGGCCTCGTGGATCTCCGACCCGTCATAGACTCCGCAGCCCGACAGCACCTGCGGAAAGAGGGGAGCTGACCGGGGGCGGGGACCGTGCAGGGCAGGGGGCGAGCTCGGCCGGCCGGGACCGTGCAGGGCAGGGGGCGAGCTGGGCCGGCAGGGACAGTGCAGGGCAGGGGGCGAGCTCCGCCGGCCGGGACCGTGCAGGGCAGGGGGCGAGCTCGGCCGGCGGAGCCGCACTCACCAGCGCGACCCTGGCACCGGGGCGCGGCGCCGAGCCGTGGAAGGCCGCGCGCGGGGAGGGGGCCAGCCCACAGAGAGACAGCGGCCGCAGGAGCTCGGGGAACGGCGCAAACGCGGAGGCAACCCCCAGCCTCGGGGCCACTAGGGCCCTCAAGGCCGCCATTACAGCGCAGAGACTTCAGGGTCGGCGGGTCACGCGCGGCGGAGCCCTGCGCAGTAGCAGGAGCTGCGCAGCTGCGCCGTTGGGCGGATCCCGAGCGCGCCTGCGCAGTGGCCAAGCTCCTTCGCGCTCCACCCCTCTGAGCTCGCGCCTGCGCAGTGGCCCTGGGAGCACTGCTCCGCCGGCTTTAGGCCGCCCCGCTGGTGGTATCCGCTTGTTCCTGGGCACGGGTCACTGTCTTGTATTTCTGATCGGACTGTAACTTTTCAGCGCCGTGCCCAGAGTAGCCGCGCACACCTGGTTTGTGCCCACCCACTCTCGCGCTTGCTGCCCGCGTCTCCCAGTTGTGACCCCATTGAGTCCCCGCTAGTGGCCGCTTTCCGCTGGCCCGCGGTGGATGGCGGGGCGGGCTGGGCAGCAGCCTTCCTCCTGGATTTACCAGATGCTCACTGTTGGAGGACTCTGCAGTAAGTGATTTCACCCAAGGTCCTTCCTTTCCTAAAGTGACCGTCATTAAGACTTACTGTTAAACCCTGCAAGATTGGGGGTCTAGAATAACAAGCACGAGGCATGGGGGACATGCCCTCGGAAAGTTCCACTCCTTACTCTTGGGCCTCTGTTCCACTTCCTTGTTTCTGGGGCGGGGACCTGAAGAGCCCCTTGGAACCTTCTCCTGCTGCCGGGGAAGGTTCCCTGGAGTGTGCTGGCTTCTTATGGCTCCTAGGGCACATGACACCAACTGCTGGGAGTGTTGATTTCATTTAGGGTCCCAGGATGGAAGGCACCTATCCCTTTTGTGATTAGGCAGCCAAACGCACATAAAGATTATTACAAGTGCAGGGAGAGCAGCCCATGTGGAGTCAGAGTTGTGGCGAGGGCCACAGACTTCCGTCCGGGGGAGTTCAAACTGGTGGCTTAAAGCAAGCAGGCCAAAGTTCCAATTGCCATTGTGGCATATCTGCCCAGTTTATACAGTGTGTGGGGAGTCAGTGGGGCCAATCAGGCAGGGAGGTGGTCACTAGGGAGTAGCAGTGTGAGGCAGAGATACCTGGATAGATCACATTGAAGAAAGGGGATGAGGGAGCAAATAGTGGAAATAGTCCTGCTCCTAGGAATTAAACTTCAAAATGCATCCATTTTGGTTATCACCAGGATAGGGGTGCAGCTAAGAGGTAGAGTGCTTGCCTAGCATCCATCCATGCCTAGGATGGCCCTGGGTCCCATTCCCAGCCTTATAAACAAACAAAAAAAAAAAAAAAAAGAAAAAGAAAGAAAGAAAGGAAAAGGAAAAAAAGGTGAGGTAACCCAGATGGCAGAGTTCACTACCACAGGTGGGTGCTAAGAACAGGACATGTGCAAGGCAAGACAGACTTTGATTCAGTGAGTCTGGGAGACCAGCGTCCCACCCACAGGCTTGGGACACAGGGCAGAGGCTCCTGGGCCCTACTGCTGAGCTCCACCTCTAGCATGTCACCCAGAGCACTGCTCAGCTAGTCACTGGACATGGATATCACCAAAAGCCTCAGGTGAGGAGGGAGTCTAGAAATCCTATATAGGGCAGGTAATAGCAAGGGACCCTATTTTCCAGTCTGTTGCAGAGATCATATAGGAGCAAAACCACTCTTACCAGGCCTGAGCGCTTTGTTTCTAGTCTGCAAGCTTCCGTGTTAAGTGCAGGTGGCTGAAGCACTTGGGTTGGAACACCCTGTGAGTCTAATGATGGTCTGGTGGTAGCAACTCCCAGCACACTGGGTGTGACATGAGCCATCTTCCCCAACCTGTGGTGTGGCACCAGCTGGAGGCAGGTGGGCATGTTATCAGCTCCAGCAACTAGAAGAGGTGGCTTGGGTGCACCATCCACTGACCTGGGTCTCACTGCTGGCAAAGAGGCTGTTTGGTCCTGGTAGACAGCACACATATGCTGCAGGGGTGAAGCACTGCATGGGGGAATGGTGTCCCCTTCTGTGTTGTGGGGAGACACTCTGAATGACCATGCCTTCCAATACTGATGCACCAGGCTGACCAATCACTGCACTCGTTGTGGCTTGGGTGTTGACCCAGCTCGGATAGCAAGGCTGTCTTCTTTGTAGGTGTACCCCTGGGGTTGAGTTACACTCACCTGTTCCCTTGTAGCCCTGCCCCTTCTGCCCATTTATGGATAGAACCTTCTAAGAACAGTGTCCCCTGCAAGAATTAAGCTTTCAATCTCTCTCTCTCTCTCCCGCCTCTCATGACTTTCTCTTCTTCTCCCTTTTTGGGAGACTGAGGTCAAGAGCCAGGGAAAGTGTCCTGAAGCTTGTGTAAAGGTAAGTTGTGTCTGTGTCCCTACAAATTCACACAAGTGACCTTAGTTCAGCTGCCCATGCTGGTGGGGAGTGGCAGGTGGCTCCCGAACAGGGACATTTGGGGGGGGGGGTGTGAATTTGGAGGTAGACTTGGGTGAGCATGCTTTAGAAATTCAGAGAATTGTGGTGTTTTGGGGTTGTGAAAAAAGACAAATTGAGAGCCAGGGACGTTTAAAAATTATTATTGGCAATTGCACATCTTCAGAAAGAGATTTATCTGATGATCCTGGACACTTTAATTAACCAGAGAGGAAAACAGGTCAAAAGGGCCCAGCTGGCTCAATTCCTAAAAACAGTGACATATGCCCGTGGTTTTGTGAAGAAGATTCGCCAGATTTGCATGACTCGGGAAAGGCCAAGTAGAAAATTTCCTGAAGGCTGCCTCTCTGCCAAGCTACCAGGGGTACAATAGAAAATATTCAATATACTGCTCTAGAAATGTGTATTTTTGATAACTGAGACAAAGACCAATGGTTTTTGGAAGATTTGTTGAAAGGGCTGCAAAAAGCAATTAGAAGACTGGAGCAAGAAAACAGCCCACAACTGCTCCCAGGCGGTTTTCTCTATCTGTAGCAGAACTGAGGGCAGAGTAAATTCTCGCCCAGTCTGCAGCTCACAGACCGCAGACAGAGGGCCTTGGGGTGAGACCAAAGGCTCAGTCACAGCTGAACCTGACAGAGACAGTGACTCACCAACGGCCAGCAGAACTCATGGGTAGGGGCATGTGCTAGAGAGGAAACCAGCCCTGATCGGGTTTCCATGAGGCTGATCCAGGATGGAGGGAAGGAAAATGGACAGGAAGATACTGATGAAGCTGAGCCACAGTCTGAAGACTCCCAATCAGAGGGTGAGACTGAGCTGGAGGAGGACTTTGGTAGGTTATGTTTGACGGACCCTGCGTCCACCATTCTGATCTGGCCATTCTCCTCCAGGAGAACGAGGTTCAATAACTATTCTGTACTGGCTGTAGCCACACTTTTGCCACTCCAGTGTGGCCTTAGGACAGCACTGAAGGTGGGGAGGACATTGCAGATTTTCAGCTTTTCCCAGTTTTTGAGCAGGTTAACAAGCAAAACCAATGTGTCCACGTGCACGCTGTGGATCCTTTTAAAACTCTAAAAGAACTCAAAAATTCTTGCTGTACTTAACAGTCTAAATTCAGCATTTGTTCAAAGCCTGCTTTGTGTAGGCTTTATGTAGTGAGCCTGTGCCCCTGCATGACTGGATTACACTGGCTAAAGCATGCCTTTGGGGGGGGGGGGCGATTATTTATTGTGGCAGTCCAACTGGACCAATTATTGCACCAAACAGGCTGAGAGAAACTGCAGGCAAGGCTTTGAAGCCCCTCTAGAGATGTTAACTGAACTGGAGATTTTGCCAAGTTGAAAAGGCAGCTAATTATGATTTGCCAGTTTACGATCACGATCAGATTAGCTATTGTCGAATAAGCTCATTTATCTATTAAGCTATAATCACAAAAACCAAGGGGGAGATGGGACTAGAACCCCCCAAATAACCTCAATCATGCTTTAAACTTTTAAACTTTCTAAACTGTGACTCAGAAGGTCGCACAGCAGCTGAGCAACACGTCTTCCACAGCAATAGGCCCTTTAAGGAAGGTGGAAGGATTTGCAGACTGGCCAATGGAGAGGACCAGATCCAGTGACTGGGGGGCAGAGCTCATGTCTGCATTTTCCCAGAAGGTGCTTTTCTCTCCATCAGGCATGGAGGACCTAGAACCAAGACTCAAAGATGGAAACAACTGAGGATCAATCCAGAGACACCAGACCTGTCTCCCCCCAATAAGAGGAATTCAAAAGAAGAAGGGAAAGAAGATGGCCCAGAGACCCAATAGTGAAGCTACCCTCGGGGAAGCAGCCAAAGAATCTGATGCTGCAGGCTGAGCAAATGACTCCGCAGCAAGGAAAAACTAAGTCTCTAACTATGATGCTCGTCACAATACTAGCTCTACTGAGCTGCGAGGTAAAGGGGAATCAGGGGGAAACCTGTTGGGCATATTTTCCAGATCCACCTCTTGTACATCCAGTGGTGTGGACTGGAGAATCCATCCCAGTATTTACTCATGACTCATACATGGTGGGAGGATTTACAGACACCCATATTACTGTCACCCACGTGACTGGATTTACTTAGTCTGGCTATAGTGCTCAATTTCCTAGGTGTTGGTCCCATGATAAACATGCTGGCTGTCCAAAAGTATCCTTTGAGGAAAAGACAGCAGTTGGGGTCCTAGACCAGCTAACCGTACTATCCCCAGAGACTCAAAGCATTAAATCAGATCAGTTATTAAAATGGAACTTTCTCATAACAAGCCAATCATTTCAGCAGAATGTCCATGAATACCTCACTGTCCTAACTGTTCTGCGATACAAACTGGCATCTTTCATAAGTGGATGGATTGTAGAAATACTTTCCCAGTACAGCAAAAGGTGTCTAGAAATAGTGGGTACATTTTAGACTGACCTCCTAGATTTGACAAAAAGCATTTATGCAAGGGTGCTGCCATGACCCCTGGAGAATTTGTTAGTAACATCTTGACCTTCAGAAAAGGTGGTATTCAGAAAGATGTCTGGTGCTTAATTGCTGCCTCACAATTTTTTACATTTTACTGACAAATCTTTACCAGACTTTGTAGGCAAAAATTGTAAGGAGGGTTCCTATTATGGCCTGTTAACTCACTGTATCACCAGATATAGTAGAGGGAAAGGAGCGCAGATACAATACGTCATCAGCCCTCTTTGGTCTCATTGCCAGCTAATACTTCAGAGCCAGGGTACACTGAGGCTGGTTTCCAAGTCTTACAACAAGCACAAGCCCAGCTAGTGAGACCTAATGTGCTCTTGGACTCGGAGTATTGGGAGTAGTTGCCTTAGTTTCATTTATTGCTTCCATGGTCACAGCTTCAGTGGCCAATCTCAAAATATTCAACATGCAGATTTTCTTAATAATTTGACTAAGAACACTTCCAAAGCTCTTCATAATCAAAACAAATATTGATAAAAGGATTGAGACTAAGCTAAATGCTTTCGAGGCTACTGTCATAAATATTGGTAATGAGCTTTCAGCTTTGAAATTCAAGGAAAGGCTCAAACATCACGCTGACTGTGTGTGTATTAGTGCTGCCAAATACAGTGCTCCCCAATGGGATTGGGAGAAGGCTAGAAACCATTTGTTAGGTATTTGGCAGAATAATAAGAGCAGCTTGGATCTTTTGGAGTTCCATTACTATATACCAAGACATACAAAAGAGTAAGACTGATTTTTCGGATCCTACTTCTTTAACTGATCAAATACCTCGAGAGTTAAGTGGCTTTAACCCTGGAAGCATTCTTAAACACTCTGCATGGTACATCCTTGTACTGTTCTCCTTGCTACTAATTCTCTCTTGTGTTGTAATCATAGGATGTTGTGCCTTCAGGACAAGAATCCAGGGACTCGAGATAGTGACTCGTCACCTGCTTTTTCAAAGAAAGAAGGGGAAATATGTGGGGAGCTGCAGCTTTGAATGACCATGCCTTCCAGGCCTGATGCACCAGTCTCCCACCACATTTGTTGTGGCTTGGGCATTGACCCAGCTCGGACAGCAAGACTGTCTTCTTTGTAGGAGTGCCCCTGGCGTTGAGTTACACTCACCTGTTCCCTTGAAATCCTACCCCTTCTGCCCTTTTATGGATGGAACCTTCTAAGAACAGTGTCCCCCCCAAGAAAAGCTGACTTCCGAACGTGCTCGCTTGCTCTCTCGCCATCCTCTCGCGACTTTCTCTTGCTCTCCCTTTTTGGGAACCTGAGGCTGAGAGCCAGGGAAGCTGTCCTGAAGCTTGTGTAAAGGTAAGTTGTGTCTGTATTTTGTTCTGTGTCCTGCGCTAGTCGGGGGTGGCATTTTGTGGCCATGCAGGCTGGCACAGCAGCTCTGAGTGAGCTCCCCCATGTATACCCTCCAATGTCAGCGTTCTGAGGGGCTCCCTGCCCTGACCTGTGCAGACAGATCACCAGAGCACAGGCCCAGGCAGGCGGCCACTTGCCCTGCCTTCCCTGCCTCATCCTGCACGTGCCGTTCAGCTTCTCACACCCACTAACAGTATGATAAAGCATTTCCAGAATCTCATGTTTCTAATCCCAAGTTTGTCTTTAGAACTTTGTATTAAAAATATAAATAATTCCCATTAAGTTCATATGAGTCCACAAACATGAACCTATTTACATTTCGTGAAGGCAATGTTAGAAAGTCCTCACTGTGGGATCCTGGCCCATGGCACACAAGTGCCTGCCGGGTGCTAGCAGGTTGGCTCGCTGTCCTGATGGGCTGTGTGCTTCTCAACGGAAAAGGGAGACCCCGTGACAACATCCCAGCACTTTGGATGCACTCCCATGTCCTAGGCCAGGTGACAGAGGTTCCATCCCTCTGGAAGGTCTCAACCAAGACAATCGGGAGCTGCAGTGGCAGTGGGCTCATCTCCGGCCCCTCCCAGCAGGTGCAGACTGTCCTCATCGGATGCTCCCTCATCATCCTCAACTCCCGGCAGGTCCAGGGGGCGTTTCACACCCTGCTGCTTGGAGATGGCCAGAGCATACCGCAGGTTGTAGCGGTTCCAGTCACAGCTGTGGGCACAGGGCATCACGTCAGTACAGGCATCAGCTCCACTCCACCAGCACCCCGGCCCACCTGCTCCACAGGATCCTCTGCTTTCCCTGCCCAGATCTGGGTTCTGCCCAAACGAACGGCCTCCCTGCCAGGCCCTCGCACTGGTCATTTAGAGAGTCAATTGGTCACATCACACATTCCTGACACCAACAGCTCCCAGGAAGATAGCAAACCGACTCAGTGAAGGATCACTGGGGCAACGAGCTGGCTAGGCAGGGTCCTCCCCCAGACCCACAGTCGGGGCACACCAGCAAATCAGCAACAAGCCACCAGATGAGGAATGGCACCCTAAAGCCCAGCCTTCCTGCGGGGAAGCCTTGATGCCAAGGAAGCAGAGGCATTTGGAGGAAGGGCTTGTTCTAGACTCTGAGCCCCATTATAAAGACGGGGGACAGCTCAAGGATAGAACACCACTGGGACCAGACTCGAGCCTTGGCCCAGGGACCCAGACAGGGCAGGGAACAGACCTGTCACCAGCCCAGATGGGCACCAAAGAGAAGCAGACATCCTGACAGGGCAAGCTGGGAGATGCAGTCACGTTGTCTAAGAGAAGGGGTGGCCTTGCAGAGTACCTTCAGTGTCCAAGCACTGTCCAAGCCTCTTAGATAAACTATCATCATCAACACCAGGCACCCTGTCACCAGCCAGCTCCTACTGCTCATGCAGAAGACATGCAAATCCAGGACAGACACCCCGTCCTAGGACTGTGACAAATGCCTGAGGTGGGAGGTTCAAGCTGCACCTCAGGCACACCCCTTCTCTGCTCAGCTCCTTTAGCACCAGCTGCATCAAAGCTGTGCTTCAAACCCAGCATGGGTGGACACTCTCCAACTCTGGGACCTACTGTGCCCAGGTCAGGTGCTGCAGGGAGCAGTCCCAGGCACGGAACCCATGACAAGAACTCGAACCCCACCCTACTGCCAGCCCCGCACGTACAGCTTTGCCAGATCATCCAGGTGCCGCTGCAGGCTCTTCTGAAGGAACTGGACGGCAGGCAGCAGCCGCCCTGCACTGGAAAGGAGACACCCTCAGAGTGCGGTGGTTACTGGGGGGCAACACCAGGCCCCAGTGAATGCTGCTCTTGAACACAAAGCTCCCCATCACCACCGGGATCAGCTGGCCATGTGAAAGGTAACACCAACAGCAGGGAAGCCCAGCCTACCTGGGCTTCAGCTTCTGTCCATGGGACATGAGCAACTTCTGTGTCCATATGAGGTAGAATTCAAGGTGACGAGATACTTCAAATGAGGAAGCTAAAAACTCAAGTGCCTTTTCTACATACAGCTCAGGAAGAGAAGCACTGACAACTTCAACTGCAAAAGAAAAGCTACGCTTATTCTGTGACGAACCAAAGTAGCAAAGAGAGCAGTACCTCAGGCCCCTGAGCTTCCACCTGACCAGGCCCCTGCTCACTGTCTTCCCGTGGCACGGCCTCCAGGACTTCTTGTACCAGCTTCTTCTCGTTGAGCCGGAAGGCCATAAGGATGGCCCGAGTGAACTCCTGCTGGTGCAGGGCCTCCCGTACCCGCCCAGGGGTGATGCTGGTGTCCAGCTCATATGGGTCGAAGAGCATCTGGGCATCCAGGGAGAAGATGAGGAGCCCTTCTGTGCTGGTGGCTGCCCAGCAGCGCCCTGGGGGATGAAGAGTGAAAGAGATTTCTCAATCTTTAAAAGAAAGGCAAGATGTTAAATACATGCTCACGGTCCAAACACCGAAGTGCAGGCGGGCACCGGGACATCTTCCTTTTGCCACCCTGCCCCTGGGGAAGGAACTGCCTGGGTCACCCTGGAGGACGGCACCCCAGGCCTACTGCCTGCACACGTGAGCAAGGACACATGTGCCTGTTCCCTCTGCTTGCACCAGGAGGCTGTAAACTTTTCAGTATGAGAGAAGCCAAATGGTCCCTGCTGTAGCTGCACAGTGCCTGGGACACAATCACAAGTTGCAGGAATGAACAAACGTGATTGTCTCAGGAAAACCTGAGCTACAAAACTAGCAGGCTGGCGGGTGTGGTGGTATATGCCGGTCTTGCCAGCGACTGTGGAGGCTGAAGCAGGAGGATCGTTGATTTCAAAGCCAGCCTCAGAAACTTAGCAAGGCACTTAGCAATTCAGTGAGACCCTGTCTCTAAAACCGGACTGGAAATGTGGCTCAATGATTAAGCACACTGGGTTCAATCCCATTACCAAAAAAAAAACCCCTAGGTGGCTGGGCAGAAGTGGCCCTGGGGTCCTCTGGTTCACAGGATGCAAGACCCATGAGTGGTTCTGCACCTGGCTTTTTGCTTCATCCATTTTGGAAAGCGCTGGCTGATGATCCTCACCTTGCTCTGCCCAAGGGGACCCCGTGTTCCTGAAAGGCCCAGATGGACCCTCCTGCATGCTTGAGTGCGCTTAATAGCCTGAGGAGGCCGCCTCCCAGGATGGCCCTGAGCCACCACATATCAAAGCTTAATGTGCCTGGGGCTGGAGCTCTCAATAGCAGTCCCTTCTCAGGGACAAGGAGACCATATGGCAGCAGGGTTCATCACCACATTCCCACCTGTAGGGGACAGAGTGCAGTGCAGAGCCTGAGGGCAGCGCTGACTGACCTCCTCTGGGAACACAGGTCATGACACGTTGGGCCAACAACCCTTCACTCAGGGCTCACCAGTGGGAGAGAAGCGCAGTGAAGTCACTCTGATTTCAGGTTTAAAGTGGCGAGAACTCATGTCACCTGGGAAGAAAAGAACAACTGCAGTTACTGGGGAACAAGCACATTCAGATTGCTCCCCAGTAATCAGAAGATGCATAGGAATCCCTGATCCACCCTGTACCCCCACAGGGCAGAGTGGCATAGCTGTGCCTGGCAGGGATGTGGCACCAGCACCCCACCTACTGGGTCTTCCCCAGGCACCTCCCCCATCCAGCAAGACATTAAGATGCAGTAACTGCTGACTCCGTCAACTGCAGCCCCAACCAAGAGAGCAGAAACACTGCCACAAGAAAGACCAGGCGACAGGCAAGACACAGAAGGGGACCTCTGCTCACCTTTCTTCACACCTGGCAACGGAATAGCAACCCCGTCCTCTTCCCCGGCATCTTGGTCAATGAGCGCCAGGTTGCCAAACTCCGTCATCTTTCTTCGATTCAGAAATTCCTAGAACAGCAAGAGCCATGAACACCTCCTCCTCATCTCCCTCTCTTGCTTGTGTGCCAAGCAGACAAGCCACCCACAGTGGACAAGCCTCTAGCCATGAGTGGAATGGAGACCAGACCACAAGTAGGCCCTGAGAACACAGGACAAGGCCAAGGGGTGCTGTTCCCGGTCCCCAGTCTTCCTCCAGGGCTGGCTGCACAAAGCGCAGGGTGAAGGCCACTGGAGCCAACTGTAGGAGCCCCACTCACCCTTGCACACTGGACACCACTGCCACCATTACAGGGACAGGCCCTCGCCCACAGCAGACATCTGCTTGCACATGAGGGCAGCTGCTCCCCGAGGGAAATGTGGACACTTTCTCAGGAGCAGGAGGGTGGCTTCTGGCACCACAGAAGGCCCTCAACTCTGCCCAGAGGCCTCGGTTCTCCTCAGTCCACACCCTGCACTCCTGTGAGACCAGGGCACGAGGACCGACTTGGACCACAGTCTGAGGTGTGCAGAGGGCAGGCACCTGTGGGCAGTGGAGGAAGAGCCCTCCCACACTGCAACCAGAAGGATGGCCCAGGTGCAGGCAGCCCACCAGCACCTTCCACCCCGACTCCTTCCCTTACAGGGCTTAGTGTATGGCCCAAGCCAGTGCACTGGGCACTCCAGCCCTGGCAACCCGCTCAGGTGGGGTCAAACTCTAAAAGTGGGGAAAGTGCCAGGCCCTGGCAGGTACTGCAGGCATGTGGCTCAGGAACCCGCTCAGCCAGTCACACCTGTATGTTGATGCTGACCTCACAGCTTGGCTGGGGCCCAGGTTGTCAGAAGCACCTATGTCAGGGCCCACACAACTGCTCACCTCCATGGCGTCCAGAGAGAGGTTGCAGGAGAGCTCAAACCGCTTCACCAGGATCTGCTCCCGGACGTGGTAAAGGCACACAAACCTGGACATGCCCCCCGCCAGGATACTCTGGCCGTCTGCAGAGTAGCACAGAGTGGTGAAGGCCCTGGGCAGAGGACAAAGGCACTCAGATTCACACCAGGCCTCTTGACGTGCAGCTCTGAAGAAGTCAGAACCCCACACCAGCGTCCCCAAAGGGGAGCTCTCTCTCCTCTCCAGCGCCTCTGAGGCTCCCTGCCTGACCTCACGTAAGACTCTCACACCCATGGCCTCCAACAGTGTGTGCCCCCACTGTCAGGAGAGAACCAAATATATCTGCCAGGAGGCAGAACAGGACCACGTGGCTAAAACCAGTCCATGTTGGCACATATAGTCACCCGCCCACTTCCAGCTCTCCCACAGCCCCTTGGTAGGTCTGCAAAAAGCAGCAGCTATGCCCTGACTGCCCTGGGTGCCAAGACAGGGAACAATGGCCTTGGGACAGCAACGGTTTCTGAGATATGACACTAAAAGAACAAGGGATAGCAGAAAAAAAAAACAAAACATAAAACCTGGATGCCACCCAAATTTGTGACACCACCACAGAAGAGGGCAGAGCCAGCAAGCGCACCACCTCTGCTGGGCAGAGGAATACCGGCTCTGGACACTGATGCACCCGAGCAGACTGGCTCTATCTAAGGAAAGGACGTTGGTGACAACACAGGGAAAAGGGACCTGGTGCGTAACTGGTGGGAATGCAAAACAGGGCAGCCACTGCAGAAACAGCCTGGTGGTTCCCCACCGACACAGAACCAGGCTCGGTGGATGCCTGCCAAGCACCTGGAAGGCAGCTGATGTACAGGAGGGTCTGCTCTTGTGCAGGGCGGCTTTGGGCCTTTTTGTTTTAAACACCAGGCTGATGACATCATTGGAGAGAGGGAAGTTTGGAGTTGGTTCAGACTTTGGGCTGTGCACATTCACATTCAGCAAATTAAGACCGCCTCCCCAACCCCTTTCTCCTGCAGTGGTACTCTCAAGAACTAAGAATTACACCAGAAAGAAAGTGGCTGTAGGGCTGGGTGTGATGGTGCAGGCCTGTAATCGCAGCGGCTTGGGAGGCGGAGTCAGGAGGATCACGAGGTCAAAGCCAGCCTCTGTAACAGTGACATGCTAAGCAACTCTGTGAGACCCCGTCTCTAAATAAAATACAATATAGGGCTGGGAGTATGGCTCAGTGGTTGTCTCTGAGTTCAATCCCTGGTACCCCCCGACCCACAAAAAAGTGGCTGTAGGAATTTGGTCCCAGGGTCCTGGTTGGGGGAAGGCCTCAGAAACCCCCAGTCCCTACAAGCTGACAAGCCAACAGGAGCGTGCGAAGCAGCTCTGGCCTGTTCCCTGCTGGCACTCACTTGCCCTTGGCCGAGTGCTTGGCCGTAATCTTGTCCAGCTCCTTCCTGCCTGTCTTGAGGTCATGTCTGCCTTCGATGGAACCCGTCTGTATCGCGTTCTCAGGGTCCCAGAAGGTGATCTGTGAGTTTAGCGTGGCCACAGCTAGCTCTGCACCATCAGGCCGAAAAGTCACAGCTAGAGCTAGAGAAAAACAAGCCTCAGGCTCTGAGAAAGACCCCCAGCTTGGCAGACAGGCCATGCTCCACACCCCAGGAGACCCACAGCCCCTCTAGTGCACAGGAAGCTCCCCCCAGGGGAGGTGCCAATGCCAGCAGGCAAGGGAACAAGCTGGAGGAGACAGGGAGACCCCCAGGACCCGTGATCAGGCTGGACTGGCCAGAGGTAAGGCTGGCAGCTGAGTCACAGAAAGACCACTCAGGGGTAAATGGACCGGCCAAGTGCAGAGAGGACATGTAGCGAGGGCTGCAGTTGCTGAGCCTGGAACAGGGGTGGGGGGTGAAGCAGGGCCTAAGGCCTGATTCAGGAAAGATGAGGGGTGGTCAGGCACCCCCACAGCGGGCTCATTCCCAGGCCTATCAGCAGTGTACCAGCCACTGACTGGTTAAGCACAGCGGCAACTCTAGAAAGCAGGGGGAGCAGCTGCCCCTGGGAGCCCTGTGCGCAGCAGACTGGGAGCCCAGCTGAACCCCCAGCCCCAGGGGCGTGATGCTAGAAGCACTGCCGCCCGGTGTTGGCTAAGCACCGTCAGCCTCCGGGCTGCCCTGCACTGCGGGGTCTGGGCTATTCTTCTCACCTGCTAGGCTCATGTCACACACACAACCAAGAGCCAGGCAGGCAGAGGGACGAGATGAGACCAGAGCTAGACAAGAGCAAGACACACTTTGACCCCTGGTCACTGTCTGCCAACCCCAGCTGCAGCTCACCATCGGACGTGAGGGTCAGCGTCTCCTTGGTTCTCCAGCTGTCAAACATGTCCCACAGGCGCACCGTCTTGTCCCAGGAGGCAGTGGCCAGGATGGACTTCATTGGATTAAAACACAGACCACTGATGGGCCCCTCGTGGCCAGACAAAACCTACAGAGGCACAGAGGCGTGAGAAGGGCCGACACGGTGCTCCAAGAGCTCCACACCACACGTGAGAGGGAGGCCAGCTCCACCCCTGCCCTCTGCCAGGCCTGCAGGAGAGGGCCCCACGTCCCCAGCCAGCACGCCAGTGCTCTGGGGGCCAGACCAGGGTGGCCCCTTCCCCATCAGGGCACGGCCCCAGGGACACGCTGGCTCTTACATCAAGGAGCCTGCCTGTCTGCATGGACCACACAAAGATCTCAAAGGAGTCCTGGGCCCCGGCAGAGATGATCTCCCCACTTGAGTCGACGGCCACACAGGAGAACTGGGTGGGACGCGGAGACGTGAAGGTACGGAAGTTCCGGTACCTGTGGGGAAAGAAGCCCACGGCTGGCATTACAAGCCAGTGTCAGACACCCTCGCCTGTATGTGGGCAGCCACACCCACGGCAGAGGCCATCACCTGTGGAGGTCGAAGGCACGCACCGTGCCGTCCAGGGAAGAGGTCACGATGACAAAGCCGGTGGCAGTAAATGCCACACCAGTGACCCCACTGGAGTGTTCCGTGAAAGTGATGAAGCAAAAGCCACTGAGGGTGTTCCACACCTTGACCTGCAGCGGGACCCGAGGGACAGTGTGAGCACAGCCAGCCACCTGCCTCCAGGTGAGCGAAGCCTGAGGCAGAGAAGCGAGCACCTGACCACCTCAGACCCAGCTGGGGCAGAAATGGGACACAGGACACCCCAGCCCTCACCATTCAAATTCCTGTACATGTCCCCAATCTTCAGAAGCCAGCAGGAGCCACCCACAGCTCTGCATGGATGAAGGCCCACCCTGCTGTCCAGTGCTGGCCAATGCCCACCTTGCCGTCGTCCCCACCAGTGACGATATACTGCCCGTCCGGAGAGTAGGCCAGAGATACCATGCTGTTGAAGTGGCCTTGCTGCTTCAGCACATAGGACTCACTCTGCCATTCCCACACCAGCAGCTGGCCAAGGCCTGTGGGTACAGGACCACAAGTCCCTGACTGATCCTGACCCCAGGTCAGCTGGGGCTGGACTGCCCTGTTCAAAGGCACTGCACACAGCACAGACCCGAGGACCAGGGCAGAGAGCAGCCCCTGCCTGGCAGGTGGCTGGAGTGCAGGCCACTAGCCTCGACTGCAGACCTAGACACTGAGGCCAAGAGGCCATTCAAGGAGCTGTGGGCAGGACCACAAGTCAGACAAGAAACCCCAGGCCCCAGACCGGAGAGGAGCAATCACCCTGGAAATCACTCTCCTGGCCACGTAAGCCCCTGAGGAGCTGTTCTGCTCACAGCCATGGCCTGTGCCTTGTGGCCTGAAGCCCACGACACCGAGGGGCCTCAATGGTCCTCTGGCAGACTTTTCTAGGACATTCGATCTCTACAGCTCGGCATGGAAACAAACCTGAGCAGCCAAAGGCAATCCAGTCCCCAGAGCTGTTGATGGCAACTGAAGTGATCCTCTGATCTGAGATGCTGAGCAGAAAAGGGCAAGAAGAGATGAGCAGAGGAGTGCCCGTCAACCCAGGGCCGCCCCTCCCTGCAGCATCCTCAACTGCACTCACTGTGGAACTAGTACTCTAATTTTTTCTGTTTCAAAGATGAAGAACAGAAGAGAAAAACCAAGGATAAAGAATAAAAACACCACCTCTGAGACCAAAATCCAGGGCCACAACACAGGCTACAGGCTGGTGGGAGCCACCCCGGGGACTGTAGCAGGCTCCCTGATGACCCCCAGCAATCACTAGGCCCCGGGGCAGGTGCACAAAAGCCCAGCGAGCAGAGGATTCACCTCAGTGAGTGGATGAGGTTGAATTCTGGGAGCTCATGCAGATGGAAGATTCCAGAAGCAAAACCTGTGACCAAGAGGCGAATCTTCTTGTGATATGCCGCAGCTGTCACGCTGTTGAAGTCACCTTCTTTATTGAAGAAGTACCTGGATTGATGATAGGTGGAGTACTGTAGAAGGAGGACCATGGACCTAGCTGGCAGATCACCCTGCTCACCTCAGATGGCCACACCCCAGCTGCACCCAGGCACCGGCTCACTCAGCTATGTTCTGAGCTCAGGACCAAGACACCTCTTATTATGTGGATATGAAGTGTCCCCCAAAAGCTCCAGCCAATGCAGGGATGTTCACAACTGGACTGTGAGAGCAGTGACCCAACCAGAACGGCTGTTAGGGTTAGGGTTAGGGTTTAGGGTTTAGGGTTTAGGGTTAGGGGTTAGGGTTAGGGTTCATGTAGCAGGAGAGGGTGGTATGTCTGGAGGAGGGGCCCCTGGAAGGGTGCCTGTTCTTCCCTGCAGCCTTGGCCCCACTCTGCTTCCTGACCTAGCCAGCAGCTGAGCAGCTTTGCTCTGCTGGGCCCTTCCGCCATGATGCTGCTGCCTCACCATGGACCCAGAACAATGGAGTTAGCCATCTATGGACGGAGACCTCTGATATCATGAACCAAAACCACACTTCTCCTCCTGCAGTGATCCTTGACAGGTATTTTGGTCACCACAACACAAAAGTAAACAATGCCTCTTAGATGGTCTCCCCTCCTGCCCCTTGCCAAAGAGGGTAGGGTGTTCACAGGCAACATCACCTACAGGGAGGCAGGGGGTAGGTGCCCATCACTTCCTGCCCAGATAACCAAGGTGACCCTGATGACACCTCTGGCTTTATGTGATCTAACCCATTCCTGGCTCCACATATGCACAGCACAGCTGCCCTCACCTTTCCCTCTTAAGGTGACTGATGCCAAAAGGGCCATCCCCCACACTCTACACTGGTGACCGCAGTCCCTGCCAGTGAGTGACCCTCACTGGACAGTGCCTTGCAGCTCCTCCTTCCTGGGGTCCCCTTCAGTCCTCACCCAACTCCTCACCACAGCTGCACTGTTCTGAGACTCCCATGGGCCCCCAAAGTCCAGCCAGACCTGCTCCCCCATCTCCACCTCCGCCTGCCCACGGCCCAGCACACTCCCTCCTCTCACATCCTAAATTCCCTCTTAGCCCGGCACCTCCAAGGCCAGTCTAGTCCAGCTGCCCTAGCCCCAAGGTCCTGCCCTTGTCTCTCCCCAAGGTCCACTCCCCTTCAAGCCAGGGAACCTCCCAGAACAGAACTGAACATGGACACCCCCACCCCATGGCCTAGCATGAGGCCACCTGCCATACCACACAACCACACTACCACTGTGCATCTCTCATTCTGCCTGCCTCTCAACTGGGAGGGAGCCTCACTAGACAGATAATAGGTCCAGGCCAAAGTAACTGCTGAATGGAGGCATCTAGGCTAGTGAAGTACACAACAGGGCAGGTTACAGGGGATGCATGGTCCTCAAGTGACCACAACCTACCTATGCCCTGTACCCTGACCCTAGGACAGTTTCTTAGCCACCCAATAGACCTGGTTTGGAGAGGCCACAACCCTAGTCTGTGAGGTCCTAGTCACCCACCTGGCTGTGTGCTGCTAGAGAAAATGATAAGCGTGGAGCTGCCCAGCCCAGCCAATGCAGGGATGTTCACAACTGTGAGAGCAGTGACCTAACCAACCCACCCCAGTCTGAATGGCTGACTGGGTGGGTACTAAACATGAAGCAGGAGAGTGTGCTATGTCTGGAGGAGGGGCAGCCCAGAGCTCTAGGGGACAGGAGCCAGAGAACCCACCTTTCACACCCAGCCAAGTGCGTCCTCCTCGCCTTCATCTCATACCTCATCACCTCAGCCCAGCTCATGCTG